ACTGCAACCACTTTGGGGTAACCCCATCATGTAGCTTGTCTACCAATCACTGGTTTCCCCCTGGTTTGGCTCTGTCTCTGTAGACCGCGTTGTCAACATTGGGGAGGCCATAAACACCATTGATTATTTCAGGGCTGAAGTGGACTTGCACGCCCCGCACAGTAGTAACAAAGGCACCTTGGAAGTCAGTCATCAAGGCGTTTGCATAGAATTCCAGAACTATTGTGTGGTTGGCGTTATTTGGTTGCTCAGCAAAGCAAATCCATCTGCTCTCCACCAAACGCGCATAGAAGCCCGGCATTTTAGCTTCAACTTTTTCCAAGTTTATGCCTGTCTCCCGGATGATGGTCTTGGACAAGAGTTCATCGTATCTCTGCTCACATTCTGCAGATAGAAACCGCTCACGATCAAAGGCTTCCTCTTGTCCAGGTCCGAAGACATGTTCTTGTGCAATTTCATTATGTTCCGGTTCCATTTTAAGCCCGAAGTACCTACAAAATCGACCAACAATGTTAAAAGCTCATACAAACACTTAAAACAAGGTATTAAGAAGTATTTAAGCCGAAGAAATGGGCGAAAAAGGTCCCGGGCAGAGCTGTGTGAAGCTACTGTTTTGTGCCATTTTTGGGACTGCCAGGCATTGCTCTTCGCGTTCGCGAGCAGCCAGCAGCGTTCGAGAAGGGGAAAAAAATTTTTGCCCAGACTCAGACCTTCGCGTTCGCGAGAATACCATTGCGTTCGCGAAGGTCAAATTTTTGCTCCCCTACTGCTATGCCTTCGCGTTCGCGGGCAGATCGCCGCGTTCACGAAGGTCATCTTCTTCGCCCAGAATTTTTTTTCTTTCAGGTTTTTCTTCAAACAGTTGGCGTGCCCATTTTTCTTTGTTCATTTACAGCACATTTATGCGCACATTTTGCCCAGAATTTTCTTACAAATAAACACTCACACTCAACCAATCTCACCCAGCAAGCAACAACCAATTTCAAGCATCAATTTGCAACTTAATACTTAAAATTTTTACCCTAAGGAACAAACAACAATGTGTGCTCTTCTATTTCACAATCACCAAGGAAAAGAAGAAAAGAAACAAAAATTAATTGACAGGAGAGTGAAGATTACATACCTTGAAAATGGAGATGAAATAATCAAGAACTTGAAGATTTTAGACACTTTGAAATTTTGGGTGCTTAAGGGGTTAGATGTCTATTGCTTGGGCAGAAGGGGGGGGGGGGGTTAAGGGTTTACNGGGGTTAGAGGTCTGTTGCTTGGGATGAGGGGGGGTTAATTTCATTTTCAGTAGCCCTTTTGTTATTTTATCTCACCTGACCCTACGCGTTCGCGGTAGACGTACGCGTATGCGAAGGATAGTTGTTGCTAATGGCCGCGAACGCGGGAACTGTTCAAGCGAACGCAATGGTTAAGATTTGCTAAACCTACGCGAACGCGTTATACTCTTGCGGACGTGTAGAGCAAGTTTTTCCTGCACTGGACCAGTTCTGGCAGCTACTGGTTTTGGCTCTCCGGAACACCCCGACCTGCTCAAATCAACTCCAAAAAATCTAAAACTTGGCAGATTAGTTACAAATAATATTCTAAGCTATTCTAAAAAAGAAAATTTCAAAAACGACAAAATTTTTTGAAAAACGATAGGTTGCCTCCCACCAAGCGCCGCATTTAACGTCGTGGCACGATGCAAAACAATATTACCACTTTTCTCGCCACTTGGATGATATGAACTGGGCAACCTGGCTTGGAATCAAGCTTGTGACCACGAGCGATGGGGGGTGGTAAGTTGATGATCAAGCCAATCCTTAATTTCTTCATTTTGCACTTCTTGGATCTCATGTGAGGAATGTCATTTTGCTTTCTTGCTTTCTCAAACTGTAAAATGTATGGTAGTTGCCTTTCCTCCTCGTAATCTCTTATTGACTCGTGTAGTTTCATTTCCATATCACCACACAATTCCAATGTTGAAAAATGCTTGGAATGTGACTTCAAACCTTCACTTTGCAATTTTTCTCGGATTTTGACATCCTCTTTTTCCCCCGGACTAGAGTCAATCTCAACCAAAGTTGCATTTACACCGGTTGACTCTAATTCCATATTTTTCTTGGCATCACTAACACTCATGGAGTCGGTTGGCGGATGTTCAATTCTTGATTCCTCGAAGTAAAGCTCACTTTCTTCCTCGGAATTGGACTCTTCTTGGCTTCCTTCCACACTCTCAAGTTGGTGGGCATAGTGAGCCTTAACCAATATTTGCATTTGATCCTCCAAAGTGCGGATGTGTTCATCATTGTAATTCAAGCCTTGTTTCAAGTCCTCGAGTGCAAAGTTATACTTCTCCTCATTTTCAAGAATGGTCTCCAACATGAACATCATTTTCTCATTTTGAGCATTTGAGAGTTCTTCTTGGTTTCGATCAAGTGCCAAGGAAGGATTTTCAACTTCAATCTCCAAGGAAGGTTCTTGGCTATCATTCACTTCCGAGGCTTTTTGAACCCTTAAGGCTTCGATCATTTCATCCATTTGTGAGTGCAACCTTTCAAGTGCCAAGTCATTTTGAAGACTAGTCTCCAAAAGTTCCTCCAAGGCATTTTGCTCCTTGTTTCCTTCTTCAAGTAAACACTCCAACATAAGCTTGAACTCTCCATTTCGGCCATGCTCAACTTCTTCCATCTCCATAGCCCTATCATTTTCATCAAAATAAGTAGAATCATCATAGCGGAGGCTTGGGGAAGGGAAGGACCAATAAGCACAATCATCCCAATGACCATTTTGAAAACCGCACTTATCACAAATACTCCACTCATAGGGTTGAGATTGTGCGCACACTCCACCCTCGGGAGAATTTAAACAATTTTGCCACGAGTGTGGTCCTCCACAATAAGGACAAGGGTCATCAAAGTATGAAAAACTACCATCCGACCAATTTTCATTATATGATGCCATTTTTCAAAAATATGAAAATAAACAAGAACAAACAAGAAAAATAGACCAAGGTAAGAAAAATAATTACACAAATATTCACAAGTTTGGACCAAAGCACTTATGCTTATTTCTCAAACAACCTAAATTACGCCAAATTGTTCCCCGGCAATGGCGCCAATTTTGATGACGTCCAAATCCACTACTAAAAAGTAATAGACACGGTCGCATGCAATATAATTTACCCAACTATGAGTCGGGGTCGAATCCCACATAGAACAATGTGTATGCGATTAGGAATGTAAGAAAATTATCGCTTATCGCTCAATGCCAAACAATAAGAATTTGGTTTTGAAAATGTTTTATATCTAAATGCGGAAATGTAAACTAACCTAGAAAGCAAGTAAAATGATCAATGGCTATAAGTATGGTTGCATCGGGAATTACACTCAAGTAACGATCCAATGTATTTCATGATTTTATAAATATGAGCGAGTTTATGTTAATTAGCCACGGATAATAATTCTTAATTAGCTTCTTCCGAAGACAAACAAGACTTCCTAATTGAATTATCCCTAAAACAATTAGAAGATTAAGTACAACCGGAATGGCTACAAGTAGTTCAATCCTATCCCTAGGTAGAATCTATAAAATGAGGGTTAACGCCTCAAGTTCTTGTTAATTAATATTTTCCAACCCCAAATTATCTTTTCCAAAATTAATTCGGAGTTAATGGGCGAGTCCTAGGGTTAGCTAATCCCTTTGGAAACATTAAAGAACAAGAATAATTAAAATAACAATAACTCACTTCATAAAAGAACAAAAATCATTTAATACATAAGCACAACAAGGTATTTAATCCACACTTTAAATATGAGTATTTCCATAAACAAGATTCAAGTGTTGGAACTAAATACTACACACTTAAATATTCAATACAAAGCAAGGAAATGAAGAAATAAACATAAATGGGTAAGAAATCTTAACCACAAGCTTCAATCTTCAAAACCCAAGTGTGTGTGCAAAACCCTAGCTTCAATACTTGTTCTCTCTAGCTCTATGAACTGAAAATAAGCCAAAGATATGCCAAAGATCTTTTACAAATGAGCTTATCTGGGTATTAAAGGGTTTGGGGTCAAAAATGTGAAATTCCAAAACTACCCAGTTTTCACGCCCAGTTCTTCATCGCGTTCGCGTTAACATCTTCGCGTTCGCGAAGGTTTGATATTCTGATCTTACGCGTTCGCGCTTGGACCTACGCGTTCGCGAAGCTTTGGGTCTGGAATCTATGCGTTCGCGTTCAGGTATAGGCGTTCGCAAAGTTTTGGATTTTGAAACATCGCGTTCGCGTTTGTTCCTTCGCGTTCGCGTAGGTTAGGTTTCCAGCTCCTTCGCGTTCACATTGTGCCTTCGCGTTCGCGAAGGGCAAATCACTGGCAGGCATCATTTTGTTTATTTTAGCTCCTTTTGATCTGTTTTCACTTGGTTTCTCCACCCTTTACTTCTAAATCACTTAGAACCTATAAAATGGAAGTAAACGACATTAAGCACACGATTTTATCACTTAAACATAGCAAAAAGTATAGGTTTAAAGACAAGATAAGCTGGTAAAATACCAACTTATCAATCCCAAAAGGTCCCAAGCCTATAAGAGAAAGGTTTTCCAATTTGACAAGGACTAGAGGTTTTCCTTTCCCAAATCTATTAGGACAATGGGTTTCCTAAACCTATAGGGATTATGAGTTTCCTAAAAATACAAGAAAATAATTCAAGCCACAAATAACAATAGAGATATTACTAGCTTATTATAATGTGTGGAGATTTTGTGATAGCTGTAGAAAACTTTCAGAGAATAATAATAAAATATTTTCCTTCACCATTACTTGAAATTGGTTGGACTTAAAAATCACAAGACTAAATTCCTTCAAAAAGAAAACAATATCCTAAGTACAAAATGGTCACATTGTCTTACTTATCTCATAAAATTATACACATGAATACAAAGTAACATTCTTACAGACCTAACTGATTCGGACCTCAACAAAGCTTGCATAGTTGTCTTCAATGTCTTGCTAAATCTGCTTGGCAGAATTCCCAACAGATTTTGCACAGCCCCATGTATCAATTACCTCAAGTGTGGTTATTTCTGCAAAATCTTGAGGGATTGAATCCAAATACTTGCAACCTAAAATGGTTAGTATTTGAAGGCACGCAAAGTGATCACTACTGGTTCTCCAGTACTTGATGTTCAAGAATCCCAATTGCAAGAATTTCAAGCTGGGAAAACCTTGTTCAATTACTTCACACTCGTCGCCTTTGAAGGGATTATATTCTATTTCGAGGGCCTCGAGTTTGGGCAACTTACCAACAATGCTCAAATCCTTCCACGGCAAGAAAAACTCTCCACTAAAAGTCATTATCTTAAGGTATTGTGGAAAAGCATCTGGAGGAGGAAGAAACAATATTTGGGAGTAGTATGCACAAAAAGCAACTGGACTATTATAGGGATAATGTTCCTGAAATTTCATATCAACACGAAAATTCAATTTCTCGAGGTGATCTAAATACCAAAGATCATGAAGAGAGTTCTTTTGACAACTACGCCTGTAGTCTTCTTCGCTACCACATATCTTCAACTTCTTTAGTTTGGGAAGCAGTCTAAAGAAATCACAATATAAAGGATTCCATCCGGAGAGATGCTGCAAAGTTTGCAAAACCAAACTTCGCTCTCCAGACCCAAAATTACTAGTGTAATTCCATTTCAAAGTTTTCAAATCACAACTTTTTCACTAGAATTAAAATGAGTCATGTAATTCCAGTCCAAACAGAGGTGCCCCAAATGCAACATGTCAAAAATTTCCATTGGTAATCTGAAACGATGAGGCTTATAATGGTATCTCGTATTCTTAAGATGAAGAGTTTGCAGATGATGAAGACTAGCTATGGACGGAGGAACAAGAATTATTGCATTCGTGAGGGAGAAATCAGCAGAACATCCAAAACAAGGTATCTCAAGTCGATTAATTCGAGTATGAAACTAGGTAAAGAAGGATCTACCAATTTCACATTATCAAGAGCTAACGCTCGTAGTAGCTTGAAGTTTACCATCTCTGAATTACGTTGCACGAGAGATATGTCATTACTAGAAATTCGAGCTATGGCAACGCTTTTTATTGCTACAGATCCATAACCGTTGCTATAGGTATTCTATTGTTACGGTTATAACTGTTACAAACAATTGTTGGAACTACCGGGACACTTAGCAACTGAACCGTTGCAATAGTCTCAATAATTGTTCCTATAGATGTGTATATGGCAACGGTTTATATAACCGTAGCAATAGATACATCTATGGTAATTGTTGGATGTATTGTTACGGTCATTTTAGTTCCCTCCTTATTTTTCACCCAAAATTTTAATACCCGCTAAAATAAGGTGTGGCCCACAATCTGACTTTTTTTTTTTAGTTTTATATCTAGTTTCATCGAAAATATATATATGTAAACCCCTAAAATATGCGAAATATGTTAAACTCCATCCGAAAAAATCCCCTAATTCTTTCACATCGAAAATTACGAGGCTCCTCCGATTAGTTTCATCGAAAATTACCGGGCTCCTCCTCCATAGTTTCATCAGAAATTTTGAGGAGATCGATCGAGTTTCGAGGCTCCGAAAAATCATCGGAAATTACCAGGCTCCGAAAAATCGACAATCTCCTCCAGGCTCGTCCATAGTCGAAAATCTCCTCTGTTCCGACGATCGAAAATCGCCTCCAGGCTCAACAACTCCTCCATAATCGGCCGTACTAGAGGCGGCGTGCTAATCCTTTAGAGTTTCTCCAAATCTGACTCGGTAAATATATTCTTAGCAGCTTTTTAAATTTTTAGCAGCTTTTTAAATTTGTTTTTCTTTAAATTTCTGGGTTGGTTTTAGCAGCTCAACTTGAGTTTTTGTTAAATTTCTGGGTTATTTTTTTTAATTTATTTTTGTTTAAATTTCTAGGTTGAAGGCTTAAATTTCTGGTTTTTGTTTAAAATTTTGTGGCCAAAGCAATGGTATTGCTAAGATTTCCACCAATTGAGTATTTGAAAGAAGCGTTTGCCTGTAATTCCTGTAATTTCTGTAATTTCTACTGTTTGAAAGAAGTGTTTCGAGGCTTCTTCTGTAATTTCCTGTTCCTAAACAGTTTTAAGACCTTTAGAAACATGTATTTATAAAGTTATAAACAAAGTTTAGTTTGTAGTTGATGAAATGAGGTGCTAAATCTGTGCCCTTTTTTACACGAACATCGGTATAGTGGGAGTTTAGTACACTGCGGTACCCTTTTAATAATAGGTAAACATTTAAATGTTTGGGTACTTCAAATCTGTTGTACATAGCTTGCAAAAAGTGCATTAATCGCTATTGGCATTATAGAAATCTGGTGGAGGATTATTTGGTTGTTCATGGGTTTGTTGATGGTTATACAAAATGAGTTTTCCACGGGGAGGGATTTTCCTAGAGAAATACACCTTCTCCAAGCAATGATGATGAAGGTTCTAACATGCGTGACGATATTGATGGAATGCTTCATGATACATTTAGAAATATAGAGGGTCAGACAGGGGATGAAGAAGGAGCTGGGGAAAGACAATCTGAAGATGCAAGGAAATTTTTCAAATTACTAGAGGAAGCAAAATAAGAGTTATATCTGGGTGTGAAAATTTCAGTAAACTGAGTTTCACTATTCGGTTGTACTTGCTTAAATCCTTGCATGGGTTGAGTAATGTGGCTTTCTTAGATTTGTTAGAGTTGATAAAAGAGGCATTTCCCTTTGCGCTCAACAAGGCTAAAAACATGATAAAAGATTTGGGTCTTCATTATGAAAAAATACATACATGCCCCAATGATTGCATGTTATTTTTGAAAGAAAATGAGAAGGCCGATAATTGCTCTATTTGTGGGTCTTCAAGATGGAAGAATGTTGGTCCTTTGACTAATGCAAGCTCTAAAATCCCTACAAAGATTTTAAGGTACTTTCCTTTAAAGCCTAGGCTTCAGAGGATATTCATGTGTCCTAAAATGGCTGCTACGATGAGATGGCATGCTAATGAACGACTCAATGATGGGAATATAAGATATCCTGCTGATGGGGAATCTTGGAAGGATTTTGATTCTTTGCACCCAAATTTCTCTAGCGATCCTCGTAATGTTAGATTGGGTCTTTCAAGTGATGGTTTCAACCCGTTTCGGACGATGGGCATTTCTCATAGAACGTGGCCTGTTATGTTAATGAACTATAATTTATCACCGTAGATTTGCATGAAGCCAGAGTATATAATGTTGTCTATGATCATTCCAGGTCCATCGTCTCCGGAAAATGATATAGACGTGTACCTACGACCATTAATTGAAGAATTGAAGGAACTATGGGAAATGGGGATAGACACATTTGATGTTGTAAACCAACCAAACTTTTCGAATGCGTGCTGCCTTATTGTGGATAGTTAGTGATTTTCCAGCATTAGCTATGCTTTCGGGATGGAGCACTAAGGGGAAATTGGCATGCCCCACTTGCAATTATGACACATGCTCTCAATATCTCAAACACAGTCACAAGATGTGTTACTTGGGTCATTGAAGATTTTTGCCTCTTGATCATCCATTTCGAAGAGATAAGAAGTCATTTGATGGTAAAGAGGAACACAGACTTGCACCTGCTCCTTTGTCGGGTGAGGAAGTGTTTGAAGAGCTGATTGAATTTAACAATATCTTTGGAAAGGGAACTAAAAAAGGCCTCGGAGCGCAAAGGGTTCGTGGAAAAAGAGATCCATTTTTTTGGAATTGCCATATTGGGTACATAACAAATTGAGGCACGATCTTGATGTGATGCACATTGAGAAAAACATATGTGATAGTTTGCTTGGGACTTTATTGGAAATAGATGGAAAGTCAAAGGACCATGAAAATTCTCGCTATGACTTGCAAGAAATGGGGATACGAAAGGAGCTACAACCAAAAACAAACAATAATGGAACTATAAGTTTGGCTAAATCTTGTTTCTACATGGAACCAAAATAATTTTTTTTTTGTACCGTCATGAAAAATGCTAAATTACCAAAAGGGTGTGCTTCGAATATTTCAGAACGCGTGCATGTGAAGGAGATGAAAATATCAGGGTACAAGAGTCATGACGCTCATTTTATGATGCATTACTTGCTCCAGGTTGCTGTTAGAAAAGTGTTGCCCAAGAATGTTTCATTGGCCTTGATTAGGTTGGGAAATTTCTTTAGAGCTATATGTAGCAAGGTCATAAGGAAAAGTGATCTTGAAAAGATGCAGTCTGAACTTGTTGAAATAACATGTGAGCTTGAAAAAATTTTCCATCCAATATTTTTTGACATAATGCCACATTTGCCTGTTCATTTGGTGAATGAAATTAAGCTTGGGGGGCCGGCTCATCTTCGTTGGATGTATCCCATTGAGAGAAACCTATGTAAGTACAAGGTGTTTGTACGCAATCGATCTTGTCCAGAAGCGTCAATAGCAGAGGGGTTTTTGGCTGATGAGTGCTTGACTTTTTGTTCGAGATACCTACATGATAGTGTGAAGACAAAATTTAGTAGGTACCAAACTCTGGATGATGAGTGCTCTCAAAATTTGTCACCTTTATTCCCTAATATAGGCCATCCAATTGGAAGTAAGAAAAAAAATACTTTTCTCATGGATTCACAGTTATTTTTTGAAGCACATCGATATGCTTTGTTCAATACTGGAGATGAACAAATGGAAAAGTTTATCGAGTAAGATAAATTTTATATATGTTTATTTATATTTTATCTTTGTTTATTGTATGATTAAACTTGAAATATTCATGATTGCAGGGAACATAAGAATTTAATTGTTAATGACAGTAGATCAAATGCATGGGAAAGAGCGAGGAATCATAGTCGGGAATTCAGTAATTGGTTTAAAGAGAAAGTTAAAAATATTGTAGTGCCAGATTAATTACAATGGCTAGCCAAAGGACCCAATATGGTGGCCAAAAGATATACTGCATATTTTATTAATGGATACCGATTTCATGTCAAAGAACGGGATTCCCGATGCAAGACTCAAAATAGTGGAGTGATTTTATCGGCAACAACTGATAGTTTTGCTAGTGCTAGGGACCAAAATCCCATTGATGGTGAGGTTATCTATTATGGAGCTATTCAGGATATCATTGAGGTTGATTATTGGGGTTGTTTTAGCATTGTACTATTTAGATGTGATTGGTTTCGTAATGAAATAGATGATAATGGGTTAACTCGGGTATACTTCAATAGATTATGCAGTACAGATGACCCTTTTGTGTTGGCATCACAGGTTTATCAAGTTTTTTATGTGGAGGATCCAATTGAAAAAGATGTTTATTATGCAAGGAATAAAGTACCTGTTGATTTGTATGATCTAGAGGAAGAGAATTGTCCCAATATTGGAGACATATTTTTGTAACGATCCGGCCGTTCGTTTTGAAAAATTAAGCTCTGTTTAACGGCGTATGGTCTGGAACAGCTTCATAATATGAGTATCGACTTGCCTGCATGGTTGAATTCAGTTAACGGATGATTCAAAGTCAAATTGGAAGAAGGAATCTAGTTTTGGAAGTTTGAACGGTGGGAATTTGACTGGAGTTGGACTTTTGAGTAAACGGCTCCGGAATGGGTTTTGGCTGATCTCAACAGCTTCGTATAGTGATTTTGGACGTAGGCATGCATTCGGATTGTGTTTTGGAGGTCCGTAGCTAATTTAGGTTTGAAATGCCGAAAGTTAAATTTTTGAAGTTTCCGGTTCGATAGTGAGATTTTGATATCGGGGTCGGAATGGAATTTCAGAAGTTGGAGTAGCTCCGTAGTGTTGAATGTGACGTGTGTGCAAAATTTTAGGTTATTCAGACGAGGTTTGATAGACTTTTTGATCGAAAGCGTAATTTGAGAGTTTTTGGAATTCTTAGGCTTGAATCCGATGAAAAATTGGTGTTTTGATGTTGTTTTGAGCGTTCTGAAAGTTGGAGCAAGTTTGAATGATGTTTTAGGATTGGTTGGCATGTTTGGTTGAGGTCCCGAGGACCTCGGGTGTGTTCCGGGTGGGCCACGGGTCATTTTTCCCTATGTTTGGACTGCTGTTCTACTATCTGGTGTTTCCTTCTATGCGATCGCATAGGCATAGCCATGATTGCGTAGTACAATGTCAAGCTGCCATATTTTTCTTCATTGCATTCGCACAGATAGCTTCGCGATCGCATAGTGTAGCTCTGCGCCTCAACATTTTTCCTTCTTTGCGATCGCATTATTTTGTTAAAATTTGGACAGTAGCCATTTTCCTTCATCGCGATCGCATCAGTCCTTTCGCGATCGCATAGCACACTTTGGGCCAGCAACTATTTCTTCTGTACGATCGCATCTCTTCTCCCGCGATCGCGATGTACAAATACCTGGGCAGTATTTAAATAGCCCATCCGCGACCCTTCTTCATTTTTCCACCATTTTTGAACGGGATTGAAGCTTTTGAGGGAGATTTTTGAGGAAACCAAAGCGGAATCACTTGGAGATTTGGGCCATTTGGAGTTGAGTACTCGTGGCAAGAACGTGGTTTCGGGTTGATTTTGTGCCGGTTCGAGGTAAGTATCTTGCCTAACCTTGTGTGGGGGACTTCCCCTTAGGATTTGAGTCTGCTGTGTTGATTGTAGTTTGTGTACGCGAGGTGAAGAGTGCGTGCTCGGACTTATTTGTGGAAAAATTGGCCTTTTAGGGTTCTTAGGTCCTTATATTCA